CCATCAAATCTACTATAAACAGCAGTTCAAAAAAGTACTTCATTTTAGAAGATGTCAAAAAAAAATTATCACTCCTTTGACGCACAGAAGACACAAAAAAAGGTCTAAGTAAAGACGAAACTAACACGAGATTAGGTTGAAGAAAACTAGTTTCTTCTTTACCTAGACCTTTTCAATTCCTTTAAAAGGTCTAAGTAAAGACGAAACTAGTTTTCCTCAACCTAATCTTGTGTCTTCTGTGCGTCAAAGGAGTGATAAAAGTTTTCTTGACATTTTCTGACATTTTCTTAAATGAACTTTAGAAACTCCTTTAAAATCCAAGTACAACAAATATCAAAAAAAGTATAGTATGGTGCATTTGGCACTACCATGCTAAATTACTCATGTTACTACAGACTTCACATCCTCGGGAACCCAGGGGTAATCTTGCAGACTTCAGTAAAAAAAGTAAAGACACAGTCGATCGAATATTGAATGACCACCTCGATTGACCATTACACGTTTCAAAGGCCCACGTGCATCCGAAAACTTTTGCGATCGTTTGTTTTGTTTTAAAAATAACATACAGTTGAAAGTTGCTTTCTGACTGTTTCAAAATCAAAGACGTCGATTTTTCGTTTTAGAGAAAATCGCGCAAAGGCTTTCGGGTGCGCATGGGTCTTCAACGAGTTCAATCTGAACGAAAGTATACCTCGTATTCTGATAATGAATAAAGTGTTGTATTATCAATCATCAATGATGATGATGATGATCAACATCTATAGCATTAAACTCACCAATTATACGACAACTGAAGAGACAGTCTTGCATGGTCAGCGGTTTCCACAACAACAATGTCAGTACAGAAATCAGGTCCCAAGAGCAAACAGAGTGCCTTAATCACGTTGGGTTTCTTGGGTTTCCCGCCAGAAAGACTAAGTTGAGTAAACTGTTCATCGGGACCAAGCATGACGAGCTCGGGTCCAAAGATCACTCTAAATTAAAAAGATTTGTCACGTGATTTTTTTTATAAGATTTCATTCACTTTCCGGGTTGATATGTCAGGAATATAGTCATGACAACGCGTGAGAACGGMATATGCTCAACGTTCGTGTCTTAAGCTTGGGATCACGATTCAAGATCACACTGTAAACAATCCTAAGCCAAGTAATTTTTTGGTTTTTATCTTAAAGTTGACAACGTCATATTTTTACTACCTAATGCAATTCAATGGTAGCTCGTTTTTAGAAAAAGCACTAATGGGCACAAATAAAACCTGCGCAATAGCTCACCTTGCTTTCTTCTCTTTGTAATCATAGATCTGCACAGCTGCGTTATGTGGTACTCTGTATGTAACCACCCTTGTCTTATTTCGCTGTCTAGAGTACGCTGCAAAGGACATACAACGTACATCAACGATAAATTAACGATGCATGGCGATCACAGTTAGCATGCAGCAATTGGGTTTCCTGGCAATAAATACTTGAGCTTCCGAATGGGAAACGAAACTGGAACTTARAAATAGGAATATCTACGTTTCTTCTTTTCAAACCTCTCTTTTTTATAAGTGTAAGTTCTCTGTCATTTTTCTCACATATATCTCAGTTACAAACCAGCAACTAAGGGGCAGTCGCACAGTGTTCTAACATGCATGTATCTTAAACTTGGCTAAACAATAGAAATCGACAGAACACAAGAATATATGATTGTACATTCTGGGAAAACTAAGGTCTGTGGAGTCAAAGCCTGGGTTTCCCTGCGGGCTGATCATTCTATACACCCTTTTACATGTAATAAGTCCCGATGTATCGAGTTCTCCGCAGTACTTGACGTCAAATTTAAATTTTTACATACAAAAGGAATTCAAAAGAATAAATTTGACGTCAAGTGCGGAGAATACAATACCTCGGGACTTATTAAAAGGGTGCATAATAACCTGAGGTTCAGATGTCTTTTTAAAGATAAAGCAATCAACGCAACGACAGACGTTAATAATTGCAAAACAAGGATTCACTCACCACCATCAGCTTTTGATCCACGAGTACCTCTGTCAGCCAGGGGGTCCTTGCCACCGGTTAAAAGTTCCTCTACAGCAGGGGGGAGCTCCTTTGCCCAGAGTTCTTCGTCTTGCGTTAGCATGTAGCTTTGACCACACACAGCTCGTACTTTGCCAGTCTTTATGTCACGAACATAAATACCTGGAAAAGCAGCCCCGCGCACAGTTAGTAAAACAATTTCAATGCTTGAGGCGAGTTGTATATTGGTGTGGTGTTTGTATTTCTACTCCGGCAATCGCGTCATCATTTCTAGTTGCAAGAGCGCTTTCCATTTATTAGAAATTGCCTGAAATCCCGGATAGAATTGGACTGGATTCAACGCTCGAGATGTTTCACTTTTCCCGCGTTTTTCAGTTCTTCCGGTGCGTGCACTCAACTTGCATTTAATTTCCCGCTCTTTATGGAGAATATATGTCATTTAACATTTGCTTCTAATAATTGAAATGACTGGAAAATTATATGTTCGTTCATCCGCTCCTAGGTAATTTCCATTCCACTTTTTTTAGCTCTTTCCAAAGAAGAACTATTGAAAGGTGTGTTAGGTTCCCAACTGATGAGAACTTAGTATTAACTGTCTACAAATTCAATTTAGTTGAAGCACAAATGCTTGATTCGAACAAAGTAACCCAACCTTCGTTGTTGTCCAATGGGATTGCTTTGCGTCGATCACATACTTCTACTTGTACGACGGGGATGTATTCACTAGGTCCGCGAATCATCCAGCGGTCTCCAGGCTTGCGCAATACTCCCTGAAGAATCAATTCAAGTATCATACATTATAGATATCGCTAAATCAGCTAGTCAAATGCTTATCTTGGGTTGCAGCCACTATAGTTGAGTTTAACGATTGAGTCATCCGCCTACTACTATACTACTAGCACTAGCCACTGGCCACTATGGACGCCGGTTCTTGTCCGACAGCTAAATTTAAAAACTGTCGTTTTCAAAATTACTGCAACCTGCAATGTGGACTTTGTTCAGCGAACCAAAAGTTTGTACAGCGAGAGTTTTGGTTCGGCTGAACGTAGGCTACGTGCAATGCAGACATTAGTTTGCATCAGATTAGTTCAGAACTGGACCCTTTTATATCCTTGTTTGAGTCAACAACGCGCGCACCGTTTAAATAATTTTTTTCAACTTTTATATAGTTATTGAGAAAGGCGGGCTCAGTTCTGGACTAGACGACCTAGTTATAGAACACATGCAACACCAAGTACGTCCATGTCCATACCTTGTCATCTTCATCTCCTTCAACCTGATCAATAAAGGCTTCATGAGCTTTTAGAATCAATCCCTCGTCTTCTCCAAGCACATACACATCTTGGATTCCACTTTCCAGCTTTTCGCCAGGCATTAAAAAGAATGACTTTTCACCCTAGAAAATGATAAAATTGTAAAAACAAAACAAAAATCAACAAGACGGTTAATGAATGGCATACACATTTAAAAAAGTCAACTGTCGCCTTGCAGACACAAGATCCCTGTAAAGGTACATATCAAATTAGCGTGGCTTACACTAATTTACTGTCAAAGGAAAACTTGATGTTGTTGCGGTGCAGACAAAATTCCATCCCAAGATCACTTGCGCGCTTTTACCTTGACAAGCTTCTTCTGTCCAAGTTGTGGTTTTCCATCTTTGCCGATTGGATCCAAAATGACACAGTACTGTCGGTTGTTCAAAGTAGTAATATCGACAACCCCTTGAACCTACGAACACAATGGTTATTCATTTTAATGGATGTTGAATGTCCGTGGAACTTTATAAGTGACTGTTCACTTCATTTCTTACAGGTTTGTCTATTCTTACCTCTTCATAAACATCAGGAATGTGAGATTCAGCCTCGTTCATCGTGACGAGCCATTCTTCTCCATTCTTTCTTGTCACCCCATAAACATCCTTGAAAGTGCCCGTAGCACGTAAATGTAGTGCTCTCTGAAAATAAAACAGTACGGTTGATACTCTTATCATTATAATCACTACCATAATGAAGAATTTTCCATTGTTGATGAATGTCAATCTTTCATCATCATCACATTTTTATGATGATGATGATTATTATTAGCCTCCTTTGCAGACGTTATTAGTATCGGTCAGACATTCCCTAGTGGAGAGGGAACGTAATGACCGATACTAATAACGTCTGCAAAGGAGGCTAGATGATAACCGGATAGAAGAAGATGTAAAAATCATCTCTGTTTTCCTTAATTGTCATCATCAATCATAATCCTCACTATCCTATCAATTTATTCGTCATTGAAATCATCTACGACTACTAGAGTAATTACTTTACCTTCTCAGTGAGAACAAAAGCGTCCTCCACAGCAATGACCTCTTCATAGGCACTTGGTAGATAAGCACCAACTTGTCTGACCAACCATTCTTCTCCTGTCACTCTTGGATTACCATTTCGATCCTTCAATCAAAAATATGGTTCACATTTTGTGCATAACATTCAATCTTGGATATCCTACAAATCTTCAATGCACTTGCAAGACTAGTGNGAAATAAACCACTTAGGATATTGGGAAAAAAACTCATAAGGCTGAAAATCTGTCAGGAACGCACGAAAATGTGTTGTTTATTAGTATATATAGATTATATTAGTATATTATGGTGGTCATATCAGTGTCTTAGGTTAAAAAAAAAATAAAAGAAAAAGAAAATTGACGGCCATTTTTGAGTCGCTAGGAACGCCTTGTTACGCATATCAGATTCCGTTTTTGAATGGATGGCGAGTGCTCTAACCCTCGTCGATAAATGGTGAGTTCGTTTACAGTTTCCAAACACGTTAAATGTAATGAGATGGAGAAATGGAACGTCCTTTCTTCTCTTCTTGCCTGAGAGGACGAGGAGGCAACGAGAGGGTAGAATAAGACAACAACAACACCACACAAACATAAATCACAATGCAAATCTATGTAATCATTTACAAACGGTCAAATACAAGAACGGTTTAATATCTTCCACTGTTCTTTTCCTCACATTATTACCAAAACACTTACCTGCATTTCTGGCCCAGCTGTAGCAATTGCCTGGATTGTCTCAGCACCAATTGCTGACACCATGTTTTTAAACTTGTCAGTTTCAATGTTCGCCATTGCCTCGGCTTTGGTTATCTCAAGTTTATTCTGTTCACTTTCAAATGAAAGCTCAGCGTCTCGTTTCTTGGATAAGCGGTCAAGCTCCGATTCCTGAGAAAAAAAAAGAAGGAGATATTTAGCGAGGGGGGAAGTTGCAAAGCTACCCACCCCTGTAAAGTTTATCGCCAGAAATGGACTTTACAGCAAACCTTTCCGAACTTATCATTAGAGGCCGATATAAGTGGCTAAAGCCTAGGTTATACGCCGAACTTCGGTCGAATTAGCGACTGAAACAGGCAATGGTTTGGTATTTAATTTATGGGTCGCATCTCCGTTGATTGCAACAAAACCCTGTGAATTATGTGAATTACAAAGTCGTCGATGTGTTATCAGCCAGCCGAGTTTGAAAACATAGTGACCGAAAGGAGATTGGAATTTATACTCGACACTTTAAATGACGTCTTAGGGCCTGATTATTTGAAGCAGGTTAACAGGGCTTATTGCTTGTGTTTCGAGTCCCCTAGGACAAAGAAAATAAAAGAAACCAGCCCATTGAACAGGGCCAGCTCGAATTTGATGATTTTTGTCGAAGCATAAAAAGGAAGCGTATTGGGCACATGTGAAGTTCGATATACAATGCTACGCCTACAAGAGTAGACGTCTCTGCACACAAGGGGAGTTAAATGACCACAAAGACGATTAGCTGTGTGAAAGCTTTAACTCCGGCAACAAAAGTTAATTGTATTGACACCGACTTCGTGTCTGTAGACGGTACAACTTGTGCCAAATTCCGAAGCAAACAGGATCTGCGGTGACTTTTAAAGATAAATATTTGAACTTTGAGAATTGTACTCACAGCTTCAATCTTTGTGGCCTCTGCCTTTAACTTGGCTTGTTGAACAGCTGCTTCTCCTTGAATCCTTGCTGCTTCAGCACGGGATTGGGCCTCAGCCTTAGCCTGTCCTGTGGATTCCACAGCAGCACTTTGAGCTTGAAGCTCAAGCAGTTCCTTTCTTGAACGCTCAGCTTCAGCTTCATCAGTGATTTTCTGTCTTTCAAGGCGTCCTTTGGCTTCTTGCTCGAGGCGCTCGGCCTCGTGTCTGCGTAGGAACATATGTTGTCATTAAATTATATGATATTGGTTTAATTACGCCGTATGGAGCTAATGGAATCATTCTAAGCAACTCTGACTGACATTATTTGTAATCCATGCCCAGTAGATGGCTATAAGTAACTCATATTATGATGCTTTTATCTGCTTTCTTTCCTTTCCTTTTGTTTTAGAAAGGGGCCTGACCAACCTCAATAGCTGAACATTATGTCACATATATGGGACCCTTAGTGAGTATCACTATAGGAGTCATTACCGGGCAGCGGCTTCTTGCGAGTTGGTTGTAATTTCAATAGCGAGTTGTACAGATTTCTGCAAGGCGTCCCTCGTCCTCTGGTCCACAGGTTCTACTGATTGAATGTCAATGCTTGTAATGCTCAGCTTGTTAGCCGGGAAAGAAAAACGACTACGAACTTTATGGTTTTCATCCAGACCAAACACGGAGGCTCGAATTATCTTCGCTGAATTCTAGGAAGAAATAAAATTGTTACCGCATTGCTGTGTTTCCAGTTCTTTTCAAGTCTAGCGCTGTAATATTCCATTCTGGAATGGGGATGCCGGATGGTACGGAATACGGAATGCTCTGAATACATGATCTGGGAAATCTGCTCACTGATCAGAATGAACAAAATCCAGGCATGACTTTTGACGTTTCTTTAAGACCCGCCAAACGAGAAATGTTTGATCACCGAACACCAATCAAAAAATATATGGGCGAAACTCTAGCTGAATCACTAAACAAATTCTTCAGTGGCTATAGGACTTCAAATATTGAATATTTAACGAACTTGTCGATTCTCCATCAAAAAAACAAATGTTATTTCACATTCTATTGATATAGAACGCATTAAGGAATGTTGTTTGAATCAAAATTAAGTCGGAGTTCATCTTCATTCAGTACAAGAAAAAAACATCAAAACTTTGTGATATTCAGACTTTAAAGAGTCTTGCAAAACCTTACAAATTGCGCCTTTCGATGAACCTACCTTGTGAAAATCATCAAACTGTACTCCTGCAACAGCACCTCTGATCCTCGACGCAATAGCTTTACACGAATCACCAACGAAGTCTGGAACCGAGAATATTTTGGCTGCTTCCTTCTCACTCTTGTCTGCTGTATCAAAATGCCTATCACAAAAATGCATTTATTTACCAAATGCACACTGTACTAAAGTCCAGACTTAGGCATTTACAATGAAAAACTGCTGCAATCGTAGGCTCCTTCGAGCCTACCTTTCAGGGTCCCTTGAAGTGTCGGACTTCTTGTCACTCCCAAAAGGGACAGGAAGCCCAACAAAAGGCAAATTGGGAATCCGGGACCAGCAAAATAAACATGGCCAACCAGGTGACAGTGTAATATTCAGACAGGGATCGCCAATTAGATAAGGGCATCAAACTGGCTTGAAACTAATTTGAGCTAAATAAATTTTTCGAGTTGGACTTGAGAAATTCTCTCGAATATTTCGCCTATTTTCGTTTCATCTCAAGGCTTCAAACTCATTTGAAATAATTAATTTTTTTCCCTTAGTGTTCGTGGTTATAAAACTTAACCCGGGTATGGGAAGTCGTGTCGAATATTGTACTGACATAATACAACACAGTCATAGCTGTATGAAATGCATTTTCAATCCGTGCGACTTAATAAGAGAATTTTKGAGTTTTGGAGCTTGAGCTAGAATAATCTTAAAAAAAAAAATACAAATTTAAATGACATTAGAATGGGATTGACTGTATGATATTGACAGCAAACACCTTCGTTGATCCTGCAGTTATTTAGCTTCTCGTATTTCCATTTTGGCTAGTTCAAACAAAGAGCTGCAGACCTATATCACGAATTCCAAGATATGTAAAAATGGTATTGGTTAAATTAACGAACAAAATTGATACATGTATCAACATTGGTTGATTTTACTAGGAATGTTTTAAAACATAATTTCCCTTGAGTATGGATCAATAATAACAAAACCATTACTATCAGAGTGCATGCTGTAACTGTTGGCTACGTGACACAAGCTCAATAATCCTATTTCCCGTGTAGGAGTGTTTTTCAAGTGTAGGAGTGTTTTTCAAGTGTAGGAGTGTTTTTCAAGTAAAACTCTGTAGCATACGTCATATCCCGCGTGTATAATAGCTGACGTTCATATCGCGTTTGACTGCCCTCTTCCATAGAAAATTGATATTGTGGTGGGTGGATTTGAGAACTTTAAATTGGAAGAGACTTAAAATTAAAAGGGATTTTTTTGAACCCAAACGACCTATTGATTGATAAAGTGCTACAAATATTGTCTTAAATAGCTCACTTAAAAATAGAAAAAAACCATCAAATCTACTATAAACAGCAGTTCAAAAAAGTACTTCATTTTAGAAGATGTCAAAAAAAAATTATCACTCCTTTGACGCACAGAAGACACAAAAAAAGGTCTAAGTAAAGACGAAACTAACACGAGATTAGGTTGAAGAAAACTAGTTTCTTCTTTACCTAGACCTTTTCAATTCCTTTAAAAGGTCTAAGTAAAGACGAAACTAGTTTTCCTCAACCTAATCTTGTGTCTTCTGTGCGTCAAAGGAGTGATAAAAGTTTTCTTGACATTTTCTGACATTTTCTTAAATGAACTTTAGAAACTCCTTTAAAATCCAAGTACAACAAATATCAAAAAAAGTATAGTATGGTGCATTTGGCACTACCATGCTAAATTACTCATGTTACTACAGACTTCACATCCTCGGGAACCCAGGGGTAATCTTGCAGACTTCAGTAAAAAAAGTAAAGACACAGTCGATCGAATATTGAATGACCACCTCGATTGACCATTACACGTTTCAAAGGCCCACGTGCATCCGAAAACTTTTGCGATCGTTTGTTTTGTTTTAAAAATAACATACAGTTGAAAGTTGCTTTCTGACTGTTTCAAAATCAAAGACGTCGATTTTTCGTTTTAGAGAAAATCGCGCAAAGGCTTTCGGGTGCGCATGGGTCTTCAACGAGTTCAATCTGAACGAAAGTATACCTCGTATTCTGATAATGAATAAAGTGTTGTATTATCAATCATCAATGATGATGATGATGATCAACATCTATAGCATTAAACTCACCAATTATACGACAACTGAAGAGACAGTCTTGCATGGTCAGCGGTTTCCACAACAACAATGTCAGTACAGAAATCAGGTCCCAAGAGCAAACAGAGTGCCTTAATCACGTTGGGTTTCTTGGGTTTCCCGCCAGAAAGACTAAGTTGAGTAAACTGTTCATCGGGACCAAGCATGACGAGCTCGGGTCCAAAGATCACTCTAAATTAAAAAGATTTGTCACGTGATTTTTTTTATAAGATTTCATTCACTTTCCGGGTTGATATGTCAGGAATATAGTCATGACAACGCGTGAGAACGGMATATGCTCAACGTTCGTGTCTTAAGCTTGGGATCACGATTCAAGATCACACTGTAAACAATCCTAAGCCAAGTAATTTTTTGGTTTTTATCTTAAAGTTGACAACGTCATATTTTTACTACCTAATGCAATTCAATGGTAGCTCGTTTTTAGAAAAAGCACTAATGGGCACAAATAAAACCTGCGCAATAGCTCACCTTGCTTTCTTCTCTTTGTAATCATAGATCTGCACAGCTGCGTTATGTGGTACTCTGTATGTAACCACCCTTGTCTTATTTCGCTGTCTAGAGTACGCTGCAAAGGACATACAACGTACATCAACGATAAATTAACGATGCATGGCGATCACAGTTAGCATGCAGCAATTGGGTTTCCTGGCAATAAATACTTGAGCTTCCGAATGGGAAACGAAACTGGAACTTARAAATAGGAATATCTACGTTTCTTCTTTTCAAACCTCTCTTTTTTATAAGTGTAAGTTCTCTGTCATTTTTCTCACATATATCTCAGTTACAAACCAGCAACTAAGGGGCAGTCGCACAGTGTTCTAACATGCATGTATCTTAAACTTGGCTAAACAATAGAAATCGACAGAACACAAGAATATATGATTGTACATTCTGGGAAAACTAAGGTCTGTGGAGTCAAAGCCTGGGTTTCCCTGCGGGCTGATCATTCTATACACCCTTTTACATGTAATAAGTCCCGATGTATCGAGTTCTCCGCAGTACTTGACGTCAAATTTAAATTTTTACATACAAAAGGAATTCAAAAGAATAAATTTGACGTCAAGTGCGGAGAATACAATACCTCGGGACTTATTAAAAGGGTGCATAATAACCTGAGGTTCAGATGTCTTTTTAAAGATAAAGCAATCAACGCAACGACAGACGTTAATAATTGCAAAACAAGGATTCACTCACCACCATCAGCTTTTGATCCACGAGTACCTCTGTCAGCCAGGGGGTCCTTGCCACCGGTTAAAAGTTCCTCTACAGCAGGGGGGAGCTCCTTTGCCCAGAGTTCTTCGTCTTGCGTTAGCATGTAGCTTTGACCACACACAGCTCGTACTTTGCCAGTCTTTATGTCACGAACATAAATACCTGGAAAAGCAGCCCCGCGCACAGTTAGTAAAACAATTTCAATGCTTGAGGCGAGTTGTATATTGGTGTGGTGTTTGTATTTCTACTCCGGCAATCGCGTCATCATTTCTAGTTGCAAGAGCGCTTTCCATTTATTAGAAATTGCCTGAAATCCCGGATAGAATTGGACTGGATTCAACGCTCGAGATGTTTCACTTTTCCCGCGTTTTTCAGTTCTTCCGGTGCGTGCACTCAACTTGCATTTAATTTCCCGCTCTTTATGGAGAATATATGTCATTTAACATTTGCTTCTAATAATTGAAATGACTGGAAAATTATATGTTCGTTCATCCGCTCCTAGGTAATTTCCATTCCACTTTTTTTAGCTCTTTCCAAAGAAGAACTATTGAAAGGTGTGTTAGGTTCCCAACTGATGAGAACTTAGTATTAACTGTCTACAAATTCAATTTAGTTGAAGCACAAATGCTTGATTCGAACAAAGTAACCCAACCTTCGTTGTTGTCCAATGGGATTGCTTTGCGTCGATCACATACTTCTACTTGTACGACGGGGATGTATTCACTAGGTCCGCGAATCATCCAGCGGTCTCCAGGCTTGCGCAATACTCCCTGAAGAATCAATTCAAGTATCATACATTATAGATATCGCTAAATCAGCTAGTCAAATGCTTATCTTGGGTTGCAGCCACTATAGTTGAGTTTAACGATTGAGTCATCCGCCTACTACTATACTACTAGCACTAGCCACTGGCCACTATGGACGCCGGTTCTTGTCCGACAGCTAAATTTAAAAACTGTCGTTTTCAAAATTACTGCAACCTGCAATGTGGACTTTGTTCAGCGAACCAAAAGTTTGTACAGCGAGAGTTTTGGTTCGGCTGAACGTAGGCTACGTGCAATGCAGACATTAGTTTGCATCAGATTAGTTCAGAACTGGACCCTTTTATATCCTTGTTTGAGTCAACAACGCGCGCACCGTTTAAATAATTTTTTTCAACTTTTATATAGTTATTGAGAAAGGCGGGCTCAGTTCTGGACTAGACGACCTAGTTATAGAACACATGCAACACCAAGTACGTCCATGTCCATACCTTGTCATCTTCATCTCCTTCAACCTGATCAATAAAGGCTTCATGAGCTTTTAGAATCAATCCCTCGTCTTCTCCAAGCACATACACATCTTGGATTCCACTTTCCAGCTTTTCGCCAGGCATTAAAAAGAATGACTTTTCACCCTAGAAAATGATAAAATTGTAAAAACAAAACAAAAATCAACAAGACGGTTAATGAATGGCATACACATTTAAAAAAGTCAACTGTCGCCTTGCAGACACAAGATCCCTGTAAAGGTACATATCAAATTAGCGTGGCTTACACTAATTTACTGTCAAAGGAAAACTTGATGTTGTTGCGGTGCAGACAAAATTCCATCCCAAGATCACTTGCGCGCTTTTACCTTGACAAGCTTCTTCTGTCCAAGTTGTGGTTTTCCATCTTTGCCGATTGGATCCAAAATGACACAGTACTGTCGGTTGTTCAAAGTAGTAATATCGACAACCCCTTGAACCTACGAACACAATGGTTATTCATTTTAATGGATGTTGAATGTCCGTGGAACTTTATAAGTGACTGTTCACTTCATTTCTTACAGGTTTGTCTATTCTTACCTCTTCATAAACATCAGGAATGTGAGATTCAGCCTCGTTCATCGTGACGAGCCATTCTTCTCCATTCTTTCTTGTCACCCCATAAACATCCTTGAAAGTGCCCGTAGCACGTAAATGTAGTGCTCTCTGAAAATAAAACAGTACGGTTGATACTCTTATCATTATAATCACTACCATAATGAAGAATTTTCCATTGTTGATGAATGTCAATCTTTCATCATCATCACATTTTTATGATGATTATTATTAGCCTCCTTTGCAGACGTTATTAGTATCGGTCATGCGTTCCCTAGTGGAGAGGGAACATAATGACCGCGATACTCTAAATTAAACGTCTGCAAAGGATGCTAGATGATTAGGAAAGAAGAAGGTGTAAAAATCAACTCTGTCTTCCTTGTCATCATCAATCATCATCCTCACTATCCTACCAATATATTCGTCATTGAAATCATCTTTACATGTTACATTACCTTCTCAGTGAGAACAAAAGCGTCCTCCACAGCAATGACCTCTTCATAGGCACTTGGTAGATAAGCACCAACTTGTCTGACCAACCATTCTTCTCCTGTCACTCTTGGATTACCATTTCGATCCTTCAATCAAAAATATGGTTCACATTTTGTGTGTATTCAACCTTGGATATCCTACAAATCTTCAATGCACTTGCAAGACTAGTGATCCACGCTTTTCTTTAGGAAGGAGTGCAGGAAAACCAAGGAAKGGATGGCCCCCATAAAATTTGATTGCAAAGAAGACACAAATTATGGGAAATTTTTGTAGTAGGTCCTTGGAGGGTTCCATAGATTTAGTTATAAAACTCATTAATATTCATAAGGCAAAACACAATAGAAATCATAGCCCATGAAGAGAGTTGTATATTACATACAGATCGCCCGCTCATATTGTATATATTACTTATCAATTCATGGTTTATTATCACACAGTGAATGGTCTTTTTAGAGATATTACAGTCTGGGTTTTGGAACCTTTTTGATTCTGGTCTTTTCTAATTTTTAACTAATTTACTTTTCCTTACTTCAACTCTTTGTAATCAAGTCTAAATATAAGCACGTTTACCTTTGTCTCTTTTCTTGCTCGTAACTTTATAGCCTGATTAGGCTGAACAATGGAAGCTCGAATGGTCTCAACAACTTCAACTTCCTTGCGAGGTATCAATGTTCCTAGAAGGTAAGAACTTAGATTGTACGCTATGTTTTAAAAATATTCAGACACCTGGATCAAAATATGTCACAAAGAGATATGATTTATCCACTAACAATCAAAATAGTAAAGGTAGTAATTCACAAAACAATTTGCTAATAATAAGTCTTTGTTGTCTTTGGCCTTTTTATGTTTTAATTACAAAAAGTTATTAGTAAGTAGTTATGATAATAAGCAATGTCTGGTAAGTTAAGATTCACCATAAGATTGACTAATTTAAAAGTATAACCTGGAGATGTCATGTTGGTCTATTTGCAAATTTYAATTATATTTTGCTCAGACTGCASGTCMTTGRGCATCTTTTGAATCAAGGCCTTTATTTTCTATAACTATACTGTTACTACTGTGAATGACGACCTTTTTWYSKTAATTGCAATTAGGTTTCAWTCAGGTTTGTCTGCCTAAATGAAGAATRGACATGTTCWAATTCACAGTAAGCTGGTCGACAGAGAACAACAAAAAGTCACAGATACCTGGTCCYTCAAACAACCACTCATCTCCWGCAACTCTCTTTTCACCAGATTCATCTTCAAAGTCAAGTACAGCTCTAAGTCTAAGGGCTGAGTTAGCAATGACAATCCTTAGAGCAGTGCAGCCATGCTTAAGGACTTCACCAGGAAACAATGGGAAGGGATCTTGTGCAAGKCGAATTTCCTATACAAAAATATTTACTTAAGTTATGAAAGTGGAGAAGAAACTTTAAGAAAGCTTTACCATAACTCCAGCATTGTAGCTAATCATTACTCAGTATTAAATTATTACCTGTGGTAATCCTATATATAGAGTGCTTGCACTTAAAGCGTGAAACGAATAGTACTAATTACTACTAAATAGTGTTGATTATACAATAGGAAACAAAGAAATTTGTATAATTTATCACCTATTTTGTAGTATTTATATTTCACGCATTTAGTGCGAGCACTCTAGTAAACAAACTTTTGAAACAGGTATACTTTTTTTTTTACATCAAAGTTGATTATTTACGGAAGAATAAAATATTCCACTGCAATATATTTACCTGATCAGCATGACGAAGCTTGATTTGTCCATACTCATCTATGATGACTTTGCCTTCTTTATGATCTCTCATGACTGGGTTTTCAATTATACAATAGTGACGGGGAGGGATAGTTATCATCTTGGCTGGACCAATGATCACCTAGCGAAGACATTTCAATCATAGTGAAAAATAATACTTTTTGTTGAAAATTCTGAAAAAATTGAAAATAATTAAAAATCTCCAAATACAAAAAGACCAGCACAGGCATTTCTGTTGTAGTACTGCTGATCACTAAACATCATTATCGGAACCATAGTAACACATGTTCTGAAGAGTGCATCACACAGGAAGCCCAAACAAGAATTTAGAKGACAAAAACTTCTTAATAGAATTATCAAAAAAATTCAGACTTGACTTGTGTACATTCTACATTCACTTGTTCAATTTATATAAACCATGAAGATTYTCCTTCAAATATCATGCATAACACTTCAATCCATACATCTTATAAATACAGCCTGT